TAGGTATTAGTGTGCTTTATATGCCCTTGGGAGTGTTAATCTTTTAATATGAATTGACATTCCGTTCTTCCATAAATATGATCGAAAACGATATTTATCACCTTTAAATATGTTAAAAGTTAATAAAAACTTTTGAGGATGGTTGAATAGAATCGTCCTAATCGCATTGATGAGGCGTTTCGAAAGAGAACTTATTTGAGTGACTGTTGAATGACTGTTAGGTTGGATTTTTAATAACTGAAATATTTCGTTTAATCGATCACTATTAATGACCGAGTAAGCTATGTGGTTCATAGCTTCAATTGGATATGGATGAATAGATTACTAGCTAGCCCCTAGTTTTCTGTTGTTTCAACAACATTCATCCCTATAGGCTCTTTCCAATCATGTTCGTTCTTATGGAGGTGTCCTGATGGCAAGATCTTTCTTGCAATTGCAACTGACATTGCACAGATGTATCTATTTATAATAGCTTCAGAGTGTTCATTGCTCAAATTTGACGAACTCTTAATCTTGCTGGCCTTGGAACTATTTGAAATGGAATATGGATGAATGGAAAGAGTCCATAGGAATTCCAAACACAGGTGGTACTTCTTTCCCGTTAATTACAAAATGTTACAAAATTCTGGATGTATAGAACAATTCTTGAAAAAAGTTATTGTAGTCCTCTTGGCTCCTTAACATTTTGCCTAAATTGTTGGTGTTTATGTTGATGTGAGTTGATGAATTGGTTTTCAATGCAAAAAGAGTGGAGTGTTTCTCAGTTGATGCCTTGAATCTGTGTTCATAACTTCCTTCAGAATATTTCTCACACCAGTGGGTTCAATAAAATTAGTAGAATTGGGGCTCAGGTTGCTCAGACTGTTGTGGAAAGTAAATGAAATTCAATTCAAGTCAATCTCAAAAAGGTAGTCAGTAACCTTATTTTTTTTCCATCCTCTAAGCAGTAACCAAATCGTTTTCCCAAAGATTTCTTCGTGTTTATTTAGTTTCCTCGTTGATTGCTTCTTTTAGTAAAAAATTAAAAAGACAAAACAATGAATCAGCATGGACAATTATCTGATATGTATCGTGTAATTACTATGAAAATTATAAAAGAAAATAAATTATTTCGAAACCTGCTGTATCTAACCAATACATACATAAAGGCGAGGCTTAAGTGATCTACTTATGTGTAGAGTATCTACTCTCTCGAAGATCTCGTAGAATTCCACATAAGTTTCAGATGCACAATACTACCCAAATAAAGCAAAATAGTCCTCATTCAATTTTAAACTTTAAAATGTTTTTAAATTAATTGTTGGTGTTTGTGCTAATGTGAGTTGTTGCACTGGTTTTCAATGCAAAAAGAGTGGAGCGTTTCTGAGATGATGCCTTAAATTTGTGTTCATAACATCCTCCATAATTTTTTTCACACCAGAGGTTTCAATAAAATTAGCAGAATTGTTGCCCAGGTTGCACCGGCCGTAGTGGAAAGTAAATGGTATGGTACCAAATCGATTAATTTACGACTTTTCTGAGTGCAATCAGATCTACGCTAGGAGCTGTATAGTTCTCGTGATTCAAAATGGTGTCGCCGGAATAAGCTTAGTACCTATTTCTGCGTGGCAACAGTAAAACATCGTTTTAACTTTAAAATAGCATAACGACTAAATCTAGTTTTTACGACCCGGCTAATAAAGCACGACTTTCTTTTAGGGCAATCAAATTTAAGCTGTTGCTGTGGTTCTCAAGGTTGAGGAATAGTGCCTTATATCTTTGAAACCGTGGACCGACAAAATATACTTAATTTTTTACGACTTGTGTTTAGGCCCAGTGGAAATAAAGTGCTAGTGCACTGTCTTAACTTATAACATTCGAGAAAAGGAAATTACATATTTTAGCGACATGTGTGACGGCGGCACCCGTTTCGTGAAGATAGTATTGATTTTTAATGTTTTTTTATTTATTTTACAGTTACGGCCCGCTCGGAGCGCGGGCAGTGTTGATGTCTGTCCCAGACAACTTAACCGATTAAATTACGACTTTTTACCCGACTACTTAGTCAAATTTTAAAACTTCGACCATGGTCACGATAGAATAGTTGTGTTGTTGTAGAATATGTTGCTAAAAAAAACAGGCACATTAGCCTAGGGCAAAATTTTGAGTTTTTGTGACAAGGAAGGGAGCTAAATGCCTTTTGTATATATTGTCTAAAGAATATGCTAATTTGTTACACAATAATATGTACTTTACCCGATCATATAAAATGCCGAAAACAGTCTAAAATAAAAATCTAAAACGAATTATTTAAGAATTATTTAAAATAATCGTAACTTAGCACATAATTGTTATATAGAAATATTTCTCTTTTAGTATTACAGAGAACTGCTACATTTTGGTTTTCAACTGAACTTGAAAATTGCCCAGCGATTTAACGACACGGCGTGCCCCGTCCGCTGCCCCATCAATCGTCATAGTGCGCTTGTCAACGTCGGATCTGTGCCATATTTTCTGCGCCTATTCTTATTTAATCATGTTAATTTTGCGAGGGCTGGTGGCTTCCACGCGTCTCACCTCCTAAAATTTAAGCTCTATTATTCCCTACTTGAGCGCGCCTAAATTCTGCTGTATTTTTTCTCTACATTGTATTTTACCTGTTTTCGAACTGGTCAGACCAAGAAGTGTGATAACAAGTGGATCATATCCTGTACGTAATTAGATTTAATAGGTTTCGAAGAGGGTGTGTGGAGAGTGGATGTGGTGTATAAAATATTTTTTCATGGAAAACAGAATCTTCTTGTTCAACTTTTTTATTTGATTTTTTAAACAATACAAATCTATTTTAATTTACTTGCCCGTGGCCCGTTTTTGAAGGTAGATAAATAGAGATATATTTTTTTTTCTCGATCATATACTACGATGATGGTTTATTTTTCAATAGTTCTATAATCTAGGTTTAAAACTAAGTTGACATGATTGAAAGTTAATAATAGGAACACTTTATCAATGATGACAATCAGCCAACGTTATGTAGATCGAAAACAAAGTCTACCTACCTTCAATTGGAACCAAAGTTATCAATGTTACTCCATATATTTTATACTGTGTAAAACATATGTATAAATACTTCATCTATTCTATACAAATAGTTATATTCGCAAGTATCAAATATTACAATATATTTTTCACGATAGCTAAATAATGTTGGAAGACATTATGGAATTAACGTAAGTTAAGACCAATTTGCAAAAGTTGCAGTCTACAGCCACGGAAATGTAGTAATTATACTCCGCGAAATTCAGCTTGATAATTAGAATGATATATGTCAAAGGCAATGAACCACTGATGGGACAGGATCGGCGAACTTGAATATCGATATTAAAATATATAGACTGAACTTGTCTTGTCTTGTCATGTCTTAAAACTCTAATCAATTTTGTACTTTTGTACGCCACGTTGATCTTTTACAATCTTTTGCGAACTTTTGGGTAATTTTAGAATTTTCCTTACTAAAAAAATGCTGCTTTGACTTATAAAATACAGCTCTAAAGCTGAGATTTATAAAACGAACTTCTGACTTCGACTAAGAAAAGATGACTAGCTAAGCAAGTCTTTCCTTTACAAAGCGGCCTTTGCCTAAGTTTCAGTAAGTAATTAAATTAAACTTTCAAGTTTCGTTAGTAATTATTTCGCAATTTCGTGCTTAAAATTAGGTAAAGTTCGTCTTGCAATGCGAAAAAGTTGCTAAGCTCGTTATTTTTATATATCTCAGCCTTAGTGTAGTTTGATTGTCTCTTCGTTATCAAAGTCGAGTCTATAGAAAATATTTTGTAAAGGCCGAATCCAGTGAAAATCTGAAGGGGTTAATCGAGCGAATGTGGTGGATGAGGGTAACACATCCCAACCTAACTGCAATCGTTTTTGACGGCTTTGTAAAGAAGTATATATAAATAAATAAATAAATAAGTATGTGGTTTGGCATTATCACGATGAAATACGATACCCTTGCTATTATAGACCACTTCTGGGCGTATTTCATAAATTATGAAGTTAAAACATTTTTAAAGAAAAATTGCTATTTTTTGCCTCAAGTTAGCATTAAATAACACAATATTATAAATAACTAGGTATATAATGTACTATTTCAACGTAGTATAGTTGTTCATCGTGTGTGTGGCCATTTAATAAACATGCACACTGTTCTATTATTTACTATGTAAAATGGATTCAAACATAAATTTTTTTTAAATCCTATTTAGTGCCACATCAATATATTAATTTCTATTTGTTTATTATTAAGTAGATTTGGCACATTCTTCATGACATGTAAAGTGTGGGTTATTTGTGATTAATACGATTGTAGTTTGAATATCACGCGGTGATACTTGTTGCTCACGGCAAATTCATATCTGTCAAATTACCTAGTTATCTTGTACAATGTGAAGAAGGCACGTCTGTTATTTCTAGTACAATAAATTAAATTATATTTATAACAGTATAACACTTTAGTCACGATACGAATAAAGAAATTTATTAACTTTCATAAAACAGAAGCTTTTATGCATATAAACCAAGTCAATAAAACTTATCTACTTCAAGTGAGAAACTGGCATCCATACTAGCTAGTATGGACCCTAGTTTCTCAGCACAGGGGGAACTCCCCCCCCGCTACAATGTTTATTTTTGTATATGACAATAAATTCAATCACACAAGTACGTATAATGAAAGTACGCCGAGTGTGTCTATGTGTCTGTGTGCGTACGTGCCCGTCCGTGAGTGGGCGCGGATTAATGTGCATGAAAAGGAATGAATATGTGTGACCTATATAATAATTATTTACGTGTGTACACTTCAATAGCTTACAATTAATTTGTAACATTTTGAGTGATATTTTATATTTTTTAACTTAAAATTTTATATTATTTAAATACTATAAAAATACTGATATACAATATACACAAATACGTTTTAATGCAATAATGGTCTCGTACATAAATAATTAGTATTAGAATGGTTGTAAAAGTAATTGTTTTGAATAAAAATTTGGATGTTGTTATAACATTATATTTTATAGTGACTAATCGAAGTAATGCCAAAATATCTGTGATGATTTAAAAAGTTATTTTTGTCCTTAACATTTAATTTGCAAAATAATAGTATATTGCAGATATTTATTATTTATAAAGGAAATACATCTATTGAAAATTTAAGTTTTTACATACATTCGTTATGATTATAGACTGTGATGTAATAAAATAATGTCAAATGTTACCTAAGGAAACTGCATTTGAACAGGGATATCAGTATGGCTAGCGTGAGTAAAGCGCGACATTTTATATAGCTCTTGCGCAAGTCGCTACTTGCCGTGCTAACCCTACCGTAAGATTGTTGATTAGCAAATAGAACTGCGTTCCGTGTCAATAGGACCTAGTGAACCTGTGAAATTCCATAAAGAGGAAATGCGTTTATCGAAAGTCTATGTGCACGAGGCACGTTGTTGTTTCCACGCAGCATGAAATCCAGCTGCTGAATCTGAATCCGAATCGCCCTCCGCGTTTGTGCCGATTTGTGCTCGGGGCTGTAAAAATAGATAGAAAAATAGATTTATATTACACAGTAGGCTCGAAAAGAATATACGTATTTTCTTGTTTTACCTATTTCGTCAATGAAATAAGATTTTTTTTAATGATAGCATGTGACGGAACGAACAAGTCGTGTCCATAGCAGTTCAGCTGCAGTCGATTGAAACGGTACTTGTAACATTTTTCAAAAAATTTGTAACGTTTACTGCGATCACTATTCTTATTTTTTCATAAGTGGATAGGGTATGAAGTTACAAGAAAAGTAGATATATTTAATTTCATTTTTTTTAAACATTATTTTCTCGGTTTTGAGTTTTGTCACAAGCGCCCTTTCAACTAACGGCGGCAGAGTTGCAGTGCTACCCAGAGCTTTAAATCGCAAAAGTCTGAGAGTTACTGCGAATGCGCCCGTCACCCCGACACATAAACTGACAAGTCCCATATGCCTTTCATACGAGTATATATTATTATATATTATTTATTTACATTAGCTTTACGCTGGGGGACCAAAATTTACAGATCGGCAATGTATAAATAACGCATTTCCAATTAAGCCCAAATGAAGTGTTCATTGTGTGTAGAGATAATGACCTACCAGTCAAGTGATATAGGAAATGAAACTATTTTTCCGGATTTAAATCGCGTATATTTGTTTTTTCAAACAAACCGACCATGACCGTGTCAAACGTGACCATGGGACCTGTAAAGGGCCCGAAACGTCGGTTTGTTTGAAAAAACAAATATACGCGATTTAAATCCGGAAAAATACTTTCATTTCCTATGAGTAACAATCGCGAAAACTTCTGAACTCAAGTGATATAGACAGTGTGAACATCTAAGCAGTCATTTTAGCTGAAGACTGAAGTTTTTAGAATAATTTTAATTTCCATCAAAAGCACATCTTAAAGTCAATAAGGTTAACTTATATTAAATTGTTTGGAATGCGTACGTGGCATGGTGGCCTTAATGTGGGAATGTGTGGAAAACGAAATTGTGAACTATAAAGCGATCATCACACTCGCTAAACATAAATAGTTCACCTGGTCGGGTGTAGATGGCGTACTGCGGCTATGCGCCGCTATCCCTTTGCGTCCGCTTGCGCCTCGCCGCTTCACCTTGCCGCTCATAGGTGGCGGCATCGGTTTGTCATTTTTCTAAAAAATAATCGAATATCTAAAATTTAATATTCATAGTTTATTATAAAAAATATACGAATAGTTTAATGGAATCTTATTAAATGAGAATAGATTATATCAATTGTATCTTCTAATTCGGTTCCAAAATACCAAAAACTTTAGTTAAAATGGAATAAATTAATATAATTGAAGTGCACTGTGTGGGGAATGTGTAATGGAGTGAGCAAATACTCACAAATACATATGGTCAATGCACCACATAAAAAACAATAACAGAAAATGTATACACAAAACTTCTTAACATTTGCCATTGAAAAGTGATTCTTAGTCTGTCACACGCGTTTATATATTTCATGTAACCGTGTGTACCTGTATATTATCAGCCGACCCCCAACTCTTGTGAAGCTGGTCGCTGTCGTCGGATTTCCTGTCCATGTCTTTGTCTCTCGATTTGGGTATGTACGCCGAAGACCTGGTGGCTCCCACTCCAAGAAAATTACTGAACACCTCGGTAGTCTTCTTCACCCTCACGTTTAACGATCCGATTCGTAGAAAACTTTCTTTCTCTGAAAAGATTTTGCATTTTATAATTAAAGTTGAATTTGTGAAGAGGTAACTTTAGATATTTAGCAGGGTTTGAAGTGATGACGATCAATTATCAAGATCTTTGATAATTATCACGATTATATGTTCGATAATTATCTTCGTCTTTGTTAAATTAATTGGAACTATAAAACGCCACCGCTTGCAATATCGTGTCATGTGTTTGTATCAGAAACGTATCCAAACTTGTCAAATGTATATCTCACAAGAAAATAACAAACAATCGTTTTCCAAAAGGTTTTCTTCATGTTTATTCAGTTTTCTTGATATTTGAAATTTTTAGTAAAAAATTACAAGAATAGATAATTATTGGATATATGTATGTCGGATAATTATTAGATAATTATCGTTATATATGAAAGAAAATAAATATCTTTATAATGTAGAATCCTGATATTTAGGCCTAATGCGAGCTACACACGATCAGTCGGCAGGACGAACTTAAAATTGCTTCGGACAAATCCTGTGTAGCATAAAAGAACAATACTCATTTAGAATTCTCAAATTTTGTAGTCGCGACCGGTTGAAAATTTATATTCATCTTAAAATATGTTATAAAATAACATTAGTTTCATTCGTAAAACTTAGAATTAAGTTGGAGATAATATTTTTTTTAAATGCGATAGCACGACTTAAATTTTGACATTTTATTTTATGATTCGTTCACGACAATGATCTTATACAGGGTATAAATTTGAGACGAGGCAGCAAGGCCAGCTACCTTAATCGTTGTAATTACAGGAAAACGGTTCTAGAAGACTATCCATGAATTTTGAAGATATTTTGATTGGCATTCACAGATTTTGAGAAAATAGTACAGTCAGCAAGATAAAAGGCGATTTTTACAAAACTTTTTGTTTATGCCATTCGATCCGGTCTCTGGTAAGGATCAATAGTCTCTATGGGACCAACTGAGGTAAGAATACTCGAAATGTCAGAAATCGGAAAACTTTTTACCACATATTTTGTAGGGACATATTTGGTAATCAGTTATTCTAGGTAGTTATTCCGCAAGTAGCGGCTGAAATTCTACTCGGATGGATTCCATTGAAAATTGTTGCAAGTGCGTCTTTCAATTCTAGAACACTGTTGTATTTATTTTTATTAATTTAATTTTTTACATAGCCCTAAAGAAAAAAATCAAGGGCGTCAGATCAGGACTGCGCGGTGGCCATTTGACAGGACCATGCGTTCCAATCCATTCGTTTCCACACTTGAGAACATTTTGATTAAAAATCGTCTTAAAAGTGACAATTCTCTATTAGCAAAACAAAACAAAGTTGTTTCAAATTTAAAAAAACTGATATGATTATAATTTGGTTTTACTTAAGTGTATTTGTAGAGTAATGGCCAGTTTCGTTTCTAACAAAAACTTTTCATATAAAAAGTGTGGTAAAAGGTTTTTGCGTTCTGACATTTCAAGTACTCTTACCTCAGTTGGACCCATAGAGACTATTGATCCTCACCAGAGACCGGGTCGAATGGCATAAAAAAAGTTTTGTAAAATTGCCTTTTTTCTTGTTGACTGTACTATTTTTTCAAAATCTGTGAATGCCAATCAAAATATCTTCAAAATTCATGGATAGTCTTCTAGAACCGTATTCCTGTAACTACAACGATTAAGGTAGCTGGCCTTGCTGCCCCGTCTCTAATTTACACCCTGTATACAATAAAATTGGTTAAAGAGTACACTTTCCATGATTTATTTCTCCTTGAGAAAATTATGAACGAAAATGATAATAGTTGTGACACTGACGAATCTTTCTTAACTTGAATATGACTCTCAACGTTAAATTTGTCAGAAAAATGACGAAAACCACTGTCTAAATGTTGGAGAAATCATGTCAAGCGCAAACGAGACTAAAGAATAAAATTACGAGTGAATGTCACAATCTAAGTACAAGAAAGAGAACAAAGTATCTTCCGCAGAATTCTTTAACATAGATAACAAATTTTGAGTCGGACAGAAGCAAAAATATTTTCGCTTTCGAACAGACCGCCAACGCACAACGTCATTTTCGCTCCTGTTACATATACATACCTAAAAGCTTTTTGTGATCGGCTTAATGCGATTCCGCCTTAGCAAGTGTGGTGACACCCTTAGCTGTACTCTACATACGATAGCTGCAGTTTACAATACTCATTTAATCAAATTACTCATCACTTTTAAGGCTCGTTGGTATAGTATAGTATATTTCATTATTGGTATTTAAGCCATACAAAAATAAGTTACAATAACTTTTTTGTTTCTTGTTTTTTAGTTGTTATGATAATGTTGTTACCATAGGCAATGTGGAAGTACCTATTAATTTGAAGGCCAGTAAACTACTTGTCTTAGAAAGAAGACTAAAGGCGTTACAACCATTGGAACGAATACTGTACAATCGAAACCCATGAAAAATCTGTGCGTAGTATCTACTCACTAAAAGTGCATATTGGTCAGTAAGAAAACACAAAGTAGCAGTTGTTCACCCTTAATAACTATAGTCGTGGTAAAAATAATGCTTCTATAGTCGTGCGTCCAATGAATCCACGCATTTTAGAATGGTGATTAAATAAAAGTATGGTATATTTGTAACTTTTATGTATAGTGTTGTATAAAATTAACGGTAGGAATGTAGGAATACATATATCAATATCTATTTATATCCGTCGTAATATTCTTATTCTAAAATGAGGTCAACTACAAACAATCAATAAAAATTTAGACAAATGTCAAAATTAATAAAACAAAACTTTTTCTTACGTTTGAAAACATATTGTTTTCAAAAATTAAATTAAATTAAATGCTGACATTGTGCAATTTAACCTAATTATAAACATGAATTGCACAGTTTTTACATATGCTATGTAAATAGGTAGGTCATGTAAGATTATTGCAACTTTATTTTCCTTAGGATTTTCGCTATCAGATATTTCAGAACGTTTTATGATCACTAATTCTGACAAATTCCTAGTCATTATCTGGAAACTCTTTGTCAGAATTTGAAGTTACAGTATTGCGTGTAGATATGGAATTTTCGCCGATTTCTCACTCAGCGCCGTCTAAATCAGCGTTCAACCATTACTCTCAAAATCCGTATCCATTGGACCCATATGTAAGCCATTACTTACGTTTGGAGTAGCGAGCAAACACGTCCATATCACAGTGCGCGCCTCGGCGTGCCAACGGAAGGTACTGAGAAATGGAAAGAGCTGCGTCGCCTGCAGCGATTCCTACGCGACTTTAAAGAACGTACTTGGGTCCATTGGACCCACGACTATAGCTAAGGGTTAAAACAAAGAGATGAATAAATAGGCAACTTGAGAAAAATTCCATGTATAAAATTTTCCCGCACAGCTGTTTCTTACTTGTCATCGAAAACAAGGCATGCGGAGTTATTCGTATGGTCGGTGGAGTAGTCACTGCCCTTCGAAATTCTAGCGAGTCCGTCTCTGTAACATTAACTTGAACTAAAAAAAGTGCTCTTTTGGGAAATAATTTGAAAAATTACGCTCGTGTTGTTTTCGTATACTGTTGTTTTTTTATGTAGGTAAGTTTGTATATTACTTCGATATGATCCGAGAGAGAGTGCTGTATCCATCTGCACCAGGTATTGACTCGGCTTTTTGCCAGACCAGTCTCTTATATTTGAGTCCGCATCTGTAACGCAAATAATACGTATGCATAAAGTCTAATAAATAGTTATCACATAAAATTAGAAAAACAAAAACGAATAAATAGTTGTTATTTTATGAAATATAGGTTGAACGAATGTTACACTAGCGCTATTTGCGGCAAATATTGGAACTAACAGATATGACGTCGTTCATACAAACTTCCACCAGTGATCATTGTAGTACGAGTACCTCACGGGAGATGGCTCTACACTTTGCGTTCTAAGATTACCAAGAGCACTGGTGTAGTACGTCGCTTTAGACCTTTTATTAACAAACTTTCACAACACGCCGCGGTTTAATTTGACATTATTAAACTGTGGTACTTGTATGAAGCGCTGCCACATCCATATAGATGCGGTAACGTTAAATATGATCTTTAACGAAAGTTGACAAAGTATGTTTCTAAATTATTAATTACTATTTCATAGACATAAAACACTTACCATACACTTCTACTAATAGCCTGAAAACATTTTCGTGCCGAAACTGCATGGCAATATGCAATGGTGTATATCCCTGAAGAAAAAAATGTTAAGTGAATCAATATTGCTTTCAAAAAAGGAAAATAATTTCGAGTTAAACAGGTTACTTTTTGAGATTATGATATTTCAAAAAATACTACGATCCGAATAGAGATGGGGCTTGTACGTTACGCATCTGCTTCCATTTTGCTTCTTATTGGTCCCGCTCGCGATTCAAATATTTAGTATATTGAATATTGTCCCCGATAGATATTAAACTCTGGAATACCTTGTATAATCTCAGATACGGGCAAGGCAGCAACAGATGTACAGTTGAATATAAAATAGGCTTGGTTGGTAAATTTATTGTTAAATATAGAGAAATAAAATTGAGACTAACGTCAAGGTGCACAAGTTTCAGCATAATAAAATCGTACTTTCAAGAAAGTGTCTTTACTACGTGTCTTTCAAAAAGTACATAAATGTACTACACGAACAAGGAATGGGCCTTTAAAGTACCCTCCACGCTTTTCAAAGATACTGCATAAAATACAATGCCCATAAAATATCTATAACTTTATCAGTAGGGAAGGTCATTAAAGAGTTTAGTGGTACGCAGATAAATTTACCACGGCGTCCCTCGAATCCACAAGTAGTTGAGCAATAAAACGCTCTTCCAACTTACCCCATTCTGCTTCCATCGCCATGGACGCACAGCACCATCCCCACATGAAAAAGAGCGTAATGACGGTTTAACGATACCGTAAAACCCGGAGTGAGTAAATTTGATTGAACCGAACTTAAAAGCTTCTAGGTAAGGAGACAACACTAAATTAAACGATTGCGAAGTCGCAGATGTAAACAGATCATTAAACCAGGACCCATTTAAAGGCAATCGCAATGGTGGATATTGCCGCGTCATTTTGTCTCGAACTATGTATTTCTTAACGTGTCCGTGCGTCTTCGGCGGGGCCAAATATGGTATCCAAATTGCACGCTGAACAGTTTAACGTTTAAACGAATTCTTCGGACACATGCACGTTGGAATTTCGACTTCTTTGAGGTATTGGAGATTTTTTGTCAGCCACCACTTTGCGGCCATATACAAGTATTGTGAATGTATAAAGTATTTCCATGGAACTAAAATATTTGTAATAACTTCAAAAATGTTCTATAATGAGCTAGTAATATACAAACCGAACGTTCGTTGACCAAAGTACGGGAGACACCGGCCAGCAGTTTAGCTAAATTTTCATCACCGCGTTTACAAGCCCAGTGCATCGCCGTCTGAAAACCGTTGATTGAATTTACCAACCCGGCCAACATGATTACGTTAACAATAAAGGACGTCCGTACGCTCTATAGAAAACAATAATATTGTGAGAAGATTTATAATATGCTAAGTCAAAAAATCATGCATTATGATTTAAATCTCCAAGCCTCGAAATCGATAGCAGATTATTATTAAACTAAATATTCAGAACCTAAGTCAAAAACACGATTTCATCACGAAAAGAGTTTAGTAGGTCGAGAAACAAATTACTTGATTGCCAGCCTTTTATTTTTATATATGTAAAACACTTTGATGGACAATATAATGCCGAAATTATAGCTCTTTATAATCGGAACGTATTAGGATGATTTGCATCCAGATTAAAGATTATATTTTGTTCAAGGTAGGTGTTATTAGCATAGTTATAGGAATTAGCTTGCTATCATCTTTGGTCATTTTAATTTTTAAAACGTTATGGTAAGTAAAGCATAATTTAAAAGAACCGGTGTTTAGATAAAGGTTAACTTTAACAGCTATACTTACAAGTATATGGGAATAAAAATATTTTTTGTTCGATTACCGCATTTAATGCTTGAGAATAGGTTGAGATGTGGTTACTAAATGATAGATGATTTTGTAGTAATTTGACAAAGCATAGCTCCCGAATCAGACTACAACGATAGACCGTCACTTATTATTTACACTCTAAGCGATATCAACGAGGCAAAATATCCCGACCTTTATAAGCAGGTAATAGGAGATACAACAATTCGATTGGTATCCTAAGAATAGTCGTTTACCGTAAAAGATTCAATAAAAGAATCTTAAGTGGCGTGCATTACAAATAAAAGGAAGAACTGATCTATATGGCCGGAATGGAGCATTAAATTCTGCGTATAAATTGGAACGCTAAGGCTTTAGTCAGCGGTTAATTCTTCGGAATATATATTACTTTATTCGAGGGTACGATTTAGGTACGTAGCAATCGGCGTATGTACAAGATGTAGGCGTGATCGTCGCTGATTCAGTGGGGTAGTTAGTGGCGGGCGGTCCTAGGTTCGACGTCGCCCGGAGAAATATTGGCCCCAGGGGAAGCGCTGTTAATTTGCAGCGCACATTGGGTACTGGCACGATTTTCCACGTATCTACCTACGCGTTGGCGCGAACGACGTAAATATTTGTGGAGGCACTTTCCCCCCTGTATCGGCATAACCATTCCGTATTTGAAATTCGGCACGTCGAAAATTCTCTTCTATTGTTGTGAAAAATTCACTCGCATAAAAATCCCATTATATGAGATTAAACAAATAGCTGTTTCGATAATAATTGTTACAACAACGAAGACGTAAAGATAAGAGCTCTAGATTTATGAACGGGCACTTAGTTAACGACCTCAGACATTCACTAATTAGGGTAGACGAGATCCCTTCGTTATGGTCCGTGTAGCTAAGAGATAGAGTTTATTTAGCATTAAATAAGTATACTTACATACTGTAGGGTGGTCGTCGTGATCCCATTGTTGAACATCGGACAGAGCATTTGTAAAAAGAAGAAAATATTAATTTTATAAGAAATAAGTTCTAAAAAAACAGTCTTATTAAAACAGTTTCCGGGTCAGACGGGTACCGAATTTACAAATTTATTGTTGGCTAAGCTAATAAATTTAAAACCGGATTACGTGGTCCCTGCACAAAGCAAAGCTTTATAATTTGCCTGATATAAATCTCTTGTCTTTTTCAAACGACTGACATTATCAAAGACGAATTTGGTAGGTACAATACGAACATCGTAGTTCTTTTTAAGCTGTTAAAAACATTGTGAAAATATCTCACAAATAATTGTATACGTAGTAAAATATAATAATACATTTCAAGCTCATGATGAAAGTATTAAATTTTATTTTTTATAATTTTTGTTATATGTTTTTGACACTTGATGGTGTCGCGTGCTTTTTTATTATTTTTATATTTATCAGTCATATTTAAAATTATTTATCTATATTATCTATATTTCATTATTTTTAAAAGGGTAGCGCTATTTTTTGACTCGTAAAATTAGATTTAAGAACACAGTATAGTCGACATTGTAGGTTTAACGGTGCATTTATACGTTTCTTAGAGGTCAATAAAATTATCAAACTTCCGTCCACTTTGAAGTGTAAATTGTTACAGGCCATTTTATTTTTAACGTTTAAAAAGCAATGTTGTGTTCTGTGACCGGACGAAGAATCCATTCAAGACGTGTTATGTTACCCCGAAACTGCAACGAGCTGTGACAATTTCACTCTTTAACGCCAACTTACACTTAGAACAGAAGTTTTTTTTTACAAAATAAAAGACATATCTTTGCAATAGTTTTAAATTTTTAACTATCTACAGCTATCTACGTTATTAGTTGATAGATTAACAAGAATTGGAAAGGATGTGGGTTATATTTTTCTGTATCTAATGGAATAATAAACATGTTTGACGTAATTCCACTTATGCCATTCTTCCGTGTGGGCTGCGATTTTTTTTCTGTAATGCTTATATTAATTCGATATAAAATGTTCAATGAAGTGAAACTATTTTTTCGGATCTAAATAGAGTATATTTGTTTTTACAAACAAACCGACGTGTCATGGTCACAGCTGACTGAGTCCCAATTCTATGTATCAATCGCGAAAACCTTTAACTTTTCTTAGAACTAGGTATGTTCAAGTATGTAAATTTTTGTCAGTACGTTGTTGATACGCCTCTATGGAAAAGCAGTTGGCGTCAACTACACAGAAAGCACTTGAAAGTTGCACTATAACCTTTTTGAGGTTGTACAACGCGTAAGTAAAAGAATAGGTAATAAGGTAAGTCTTGTATATGAGATTTCCAATTCATGGTAGAGTCTAATTCAATACCGAGTAGGGTAGCTGTAGTTTCTGCTTTTAATTCCGTTGTTTTACTCGTATATTTGTAAAGCCCGCAGTTTGTTTTTTGAGATCCATATAGCGAAACGGGGTACCCCACACGATCATATTCTGATAATTAATTTTACTGTTAACGCTCTTACTGCCTGAACTGCATGAAAGGGTTAAGAAGTTTCACGAGAAAATTTGTAAACATTTTGCTCTATTGTTTTCGTCAATGACGCAATTTACAATTTGTAGCATTGATGTGCAAGCTCAGAACCATGTCTCCTTGCGAGTTACATCCGCTAGCACGTCATATTGATTGCTTTTGCGTGTACGTCAATTAGGATCCGCGGAACGATGTGTCTTCAACAGGACTAATTATCGTCTTGTCAACTTGTCTGCATATAGGTAGACTTACTTAACTTGACAGCGACATTGATGACGTGATTATTATTCTAATCCTATGATGTCGCTGACCATGTATTGTGTAAAATAATGTCGATACTTTTATTATGAGCTCCTTGTGTGTAGCGACTGTGAAGGACATTTGTATTGAAAATTTTATTTGCTCCTGTAACGGAGCTCTGTGTAAAAAAATTAAAAATTGACAAATACTTGCCGCCGTCTCGAGCGCCAATTAACATTGTAAATTCAAGGTAGGGGATGTCGTAGCAAAATGAAAAAAGAGATGATAGAAATTTTACGGGAGATTTTATCCTATGTTTAAAACGCTGTCTGATATACTATTTGTATGGAAAGTCGGATCTTTTTGCAAAATACATTCAAGTTCTACTCTTATATTTATATATATGTATATTCTATATATGTATATTGAAAACAGCTGTGGTTTGACTTACCGCCTCTCAAGCAGAGGCCATGGGTTCCAATCCGGATTCGCACTTGTGACTTTTCAGAATTTATGTGCGAAATTTAATTTGAAATTTTATATGAGATCTTTGGTGGAGGAAAACATTGTGAAACCTACACGCGGAAGAAAGTTCACAACCCTCGAAAAACGCGTGAAGTCCCCAATCCGCATTAAACCAGCGTGGCGGACTAAGGCCAAAAATCTCGCCCGAGAGTTCCTCTCGGAGACCCGTGCCCGGCAGTGGGACATGTAAATGGCAACCCATTTACACGTACTTTCCTATGTCTACTATAGAAATATTATCATTATTCACACAATGTCAACGTAATTTGCGAATAGGTCATTATAATATATCTATAATAAAAATCATCCTATGAAATATTTGCACTTTGTTTAAAACCTGTAGAAGTTAACGAGTTTTCAACTATTGACAGGGAAATCAAAGTTACATAATTATTATTCATTAACATCGCTATTGTCTTTGAAATTAAAAGTATATAAACAAATATTACTTACACCCTGATTATTCCCGAACAGATGACCAGAAACAGCAAATCGGACCGGAAAAAAACAAAGAATTGTAAAAAGCAATTAACACTAACATTATATTGTTGTGAAGTCGTGTCAAGTTCAGCATTCCATTCCGAATACTGGTTGTCGTACTTGATAGCAATTTAAAACAAACGTACATTTATGTTCACAGCTAGTCGTTATTTCAAGCTGTTAGCGTGGATGTCCTATGCGGTACTGCGGCACTTACCGTAAAAGGATCCTGAAACAAAAGAAGCCACTTGTTAGTCGAATTAATTTTATTTTACAACAGTAAAATCTAAACTTCTACCAAAAGCCTGAACGCAATATGAATATTGCTAAAATTACTTTACGTGGCACATAAATACACATAGCACCATTAACGGCCCTCGCGCCGGGAAAGGCGTTAAACCAAAATGCCTAATAGCTTGGCTAATATTAAAATTATAGTAAATTGCCCAATGTGAATTTGGTTTCTGCAAAGCGTATTTGGCAAATTTGCAAAGGATGGACATATGAATAAAATACGAAGTTTGTTTATAACTAAATAATTAGTATAGAGTAACAAATTATGAATCGATGTTCCGCTCTCACGGTTCCACAAAAAGCGTAAAAAAGTCGAAATTCTCTAAAGTTTCGGAGTACTACCCATAATGTACGCCTCAGACGCTCTTGTGAGTACCGAATTACCTACTAAATTGTAAAAAACGTAGATAAAAGCGATGCTTGTGCATATTCCCATGATCGGGAGACGGTTCGACGGCGTTTTAATACACCCATAATCGTCGATCGATGGAAGATCATATGAAATATGTAATACCGCTAATAGGTCTCGGTGGGCAGCTTCCTCAGCGGTCGCTCGGCCAATTTCGCCGTTGGTAATAACCTTAATATCCCATCAGTGCTGTGGCCCATGCGTGTACAAAGATGAGGCCGGGTAATAACTGTGCGACCGTACGCCTTGCCCACCTCCGCGACCGATAATTCACATTCAATAAATCTGTTTATTGAAATTACGACTAGGTATATCGAGTTCTTAGGCTTTCGTGATTGTTACATATAATGAGTTCTAAATGATTTTTAAATCGCGTATATTTGTTTTTTCAAATAAACCGACGTTTCGAGCCCTTTACAGGTCCCATGACCGTGTCAACCGTGACCATGGGTCCTGTAAAGGGCACGAAACGTCGGTTTGTTTGAAAAAACAAATATACGCGATTTAAATCCGGAAAAATAGTTTCATTTCCTACGACTAGGTATGCTGTGTTGATATACCTAGAGCAAAATATTCAATTGCGAAACCTTTTTCACCTCTCTTGATATCAATATAATTGATAATTTATAATTATGTACAAAGAACAAACACGAGAGGTGGCTGAAAAGTAATCTACCTATGTATGAAATAAAAGACGACCATGGCTACTTTTTTTCAATGTTAATTATCTGTAAGGGAAATACACTTTTGTTAGAAAGGGATATTAAAGCCTACGACCAAGCATACGGCGTATTTTATACACGCCGACAACGCGCATTTCACCAACGCGCGTTTACGGCGCTGTAAATGCGCGTCATCTGTAGCACAATAGGGCGCAACTTGTACGAGAGCGACATAAAACGCTAGATACTGCTATACTCCCAGCAACATCTCGCGTTTCTATAGTCGCGGGCTATCGTGCTAACCCTACTGCGCGTATACGCGCCGAGGACGCGCTGTAGTGAATCGATTCAAACGCGCGCAAACATCGCGTTGCAAGCAAGAAGTTTATATACTCCACTGGAGTTTACACTTAGAATTTCATGTAAGTGCTTCATTTCTAAAAACTAACGGAAATTAACAAACAAAACTAAAATTCAAACTATCTTTTAGCAAAATGCGCGATACCTACGTACCTACGCGCGAGTACAGCACATCTGCGGCGCGTATATGTAAAACACGCCGTGTGCATAGGGTCTTAGTGTGAAAAAAAGTATTGATAATTTTTAACATTTTCCCAAGTACATAGATACCGTCGCATTTTTCCAACATGTCCATGTAAAGCGAAACGTGATAAACAAGTATAGCTCTAACTTGACAAAAAAAATTTACTGACTAAAAAATTTGCCAGTATTATGTTGAAATTGAAAATAGTCAAAAGAGATTACTTATTAACCGCTTCACGTAAGCAGATTTGATTTCAAACCTATCTAAACAACACCCGCACACACACACTCATATGGCCTCGATTCGGATTTTGTTTCGCTTGTTAATAAATTCCTGACAAGCAAGGACTCTTTATCTCAATCACAAAATGCTACAACATTAAATAATTAGTCGACAAGTGTCAATTCAGAAAAATGTAGATGACACACGAGTGATATCCTCACATGTGTATGAGGACTGTTGTGAATGAGGATTTCTAAAATAAGAGGTAATTTATTATGGAAAGCACTGCGGCTGTGGTGACGCAAATATTCGTCGACAGTTATTAAGCGGCAGAACACTGCAACAGGACCAGCATAGAGATACGATACCTACGGCACTTTACGTATACGTATATTGATTTATTGTTGCGTAATACAGGGAGTACTTATAGTAGGGATAATATAATATAATAATTACAAAGGTATTTATATCGTTCTCTTAACTTATAAAGGTATTACTTATTTATTATAAGTTAAGTGAACGATATAACTACTTTATTTAAGCTTATAATGTATGCTATTAGCTTGTATCTGTCCAGGTAAATATTATTTAGATTAGATTAAAAACTCAAAACTATCAAAGATTTAGAAAACCTCGAAGAAATTGTTTTTCATTATGAAATTTGAGGTTTTTAAGGTCCACCGTGTATGGAACGTCTAATTGAAATGGATGAAATTGGTATATAAGATATTGATTTAGTTTATTCCAAATGTCGTTATTTTGAATATTGTAGATAATAGTGGTCACCCTGTAAATATGTACACTCTTTCGAAACTTAACTCGAAACATCAGTATAAATTACAACCAAAACAATTCATTACTCTTATTAGGTTTCCAGTTCTCCCTTCATCGCTTCAAAAGACGAAAACACAATTTAACAACATTCTTCACAGGAAACTAACGCTATTCAATTTATCTTTAATCGATAATTCAAAATAAACATAACACGAATTAAGATACAGCAACTATTTACAAAACATAAGCCGTTTTTAAGGAACCATTCATTAACAGTCATAAAACTTATAGCAGTTTTAATTGTGCACTAAAAGGCTTAAAATTCCAAAGTATCCATAATGAGTATATTGCTCATATTATATATACATAATTAAAGTCATTTCCGAAATAAGTTTTTGGTAAATATTATGAATTTAATTGCGTGTCTGTTCGCTAACAGGCACGGGTGCAGGCCGAGGATGTGTCGTTAATAGAGCGTTGTCTCTTCATTTTGTTTGAACGTTCACTGACTCTGTTATTTTGGAGCGACTAATAAATTGCGTGATGACAGGTGTCAGCTGCTCCACCGCCTCTGCACTCTTGCGTCGATGTCTCATTCCTCACGTTCTACTCCTGAATTCTCTTATTTTATCAACGCTCCGTTCAATTTTCGTTCCCTCGTCATTCTATTTGTTTGCATTCACATTATCGTGTTAGTCGTGTAGATCCTTTTTTATGAAATGTTACTTGCTCGAATGTGTTTATTGGTCTTGTCCGGGCAATTAATTAATCAAATTTTTTTACACAGAAATATTTGTGAGTATTAAAAATTAAATAGCTTCATCAAGCCAGTTTATAAAAAAGAGATGGCACGTACAAGATAGGCCACCTCACAATGCTGATGACTGTAGGTACCTAAGCACATTACTGTCAGTGTAACGCAAGTTTAAACAATGTAGCCGCACTGTCTATTATTAGATTTAAGGTGAATTTCAAAACACTTTGTATAAAGAATCTGATTGAACATAACTGTATGTGGAAACATTATAACCATTACTGCTCTTCGATTGACAATCAAATCGTTTGTATACTTTGAATAAAACACCAGAGATAGAAATTCTTAAAAAACTATATATAATTACATAGATTTTTTTAAACAAACCAAACAAAGAAAGCTTAATGTCATATAAATCAAAAGACATATGTGTTTCTTTTTACTATCGTTAATTACAGAAGGGCGTATATAAATAAAGAAGGCGCACCCATTGAGGCGGCCAAGCGGCCTGGCGGGCCATGCGAGGCGAGCACCGCGGCGCGCCGTGTCGCGACAAGCAAATGCACTTATCTCACCGGGATGTGAAAAACTGTTCTCAAGTGACTGTCGTCGGTTAGTGCGCCAACACAATGCGTCCGACTAAGCCCCGAGTCAATGCTCCAGAGGTTACGTTTGAACAGGATTTGGAGACCACAATAAAAAACAAAGTTACAGATCAGAATGGGCTCAACGAGGAAACAATAAGTAACTTAACTCATGTTTATTTTATTCCATTGTATTCTTTTCCGCGCCACGTCTGTTCACAGTTAACACTGCACAGATTTATCAATGAGCAGCATTTTAATATGTAAGAGACTAGGGGCTTCGGTGCACATGTAAAATGGTTCATTAGCAGTAATTAACTGAACGTCAATATATTATGATGGCACAGTTGAACCATCGTAAACCCGTCATCATCCCCGTGGCAAAAATAAACAGAAGTCTTTGAAGCATTATCGATACAAATAAATTGTCCGACCCAGAATGAATATCAATAAATTGAAACTGTGACTTGTAAAATAAAAACATATCATCGATTATTGTAAACAGCTGGCGGGCATTTATGCAAAATTACTTGGGCTTCATTGGGCCAATTCAACAGCGGTAGCGAAAACAACTTAAGTTAATTGAAACTTATTCGGTAGTGTTAGGGAATTGTTACTAATAGTGTGGCCATAGATGGGTAGGTTTTTAGAAGAGGCCATCGTTTATAGTATATAATTTGTGTGCGTTTGAAAGAATAAAATTATTCTGATTTCGTTGTTCGGCTTAATATGAGGTTACAACGCTTATAACAAGTTATTACAAGATTAGGCGACTTCCTTTATACTTAGTAAATTATATAAATTCCAAAGTTTCGCCTGACAAGGCCTTATTAAATTCTTGCAGAGAACTTAATTTACGTTGGCAGCTACATCATTAATCTCGTACCAGTACACATAATACTAATTCTTTGAGGAAAAAAATAGAACCGAGAGGTTTACTAAAATGTGCTTGGGAATTATTTCACTTAACATCGTCGGCCATCATT